CGGACCGGTGCAGCGTCCGCATTACTGCAGCTGCAGCCCCAATCCGTCTGTCGATCTCCGGCTCCCTTCTCCCATCACTCGCGAACAAGACCCTGAGATACTTGAACTCCTCCACTTGGAACAGCATAGGTGAAAGCTACAGACAATGCACAGACCATATAGCTTCAGACAACAGACTGATTTTATAGTTAGATTGTTGTATCTCACTGCTGCATTTGACCAAATCTAGAACCCAATCTTACCACTTGGGGGCCATCTACAAAAGGATTCAGAGCACTTATTTGGATTAATGTGGAACACTATATATACATGAAACTGAATTTCAGTATTGAGAAAGTGAGCAGGCGTCCATATGGAGCAGTAGGCTCTCCCTTTCTCTCTCTCCCTCTCCACTTTCTCCTGTCTATCAACACAATCTATGTCCAATAAACGCTAGAAAAATCAATTTCATTCTAATTTTAGATTGAATTAGAGTAATTTATTTATTTATTTTTTTAATTTTAGATGATATAACGAATAAGACTGGTTTCTGAGTTTTACAGCTGGGGTGGACAAGACTAAGCATAAGTCTGTTTGGGTCTTTGGTTGATTAATAGGCTGGTATGAAAAATTGCTGCCACACTGCCCCCTCAGCCAGTACTTCGAGGTTTCTGATAGTTAGAATGACTCGGGGGTGTTGATTCATTTAAACTAACATAATCATCTTGCTGCAACCAGGTTTCTGTAAAGCAGAGTACTGTACTTATATGATGTCTCATATTTTGTGCAATTATTTCTTGTTGTGCTATCATCCTTCATCTTTTTAATAAATATGTTTTCTGTTCTTAAGCAGGGGTGGTGTTAATTGTGAGCTGGGAAGTCTTGGTTGTAGCATCAACTGCCAATCACTTTTAAGAGTCTGAGATCTGATGAGACATTTGGACTCGTTTACAAACTGAAACTGTGTGATTCTGGGCCTGAACATTGTAGTTGACCTGAGATTATAGATGATTAGTATACTGCCCAGGGTCAGCAGCCCAGATTCCCAACCATTAAAGCTTGGTGTAAGTACAGATGCGTTGCAATTATTTGGATGATTATATGTATTATATTTGAATTATAATGTTTTTGATGCAAATTCCCAGAAAAATAACTCATGGATTATCATTTAAAGTCAGTATGTTTATATACAAATGTTACATTCTCATCGAGTCACAAAAAAAAAATAATATAAATGTAACAATATCTTTACAAATTTCACAAATGTTTTAGTTCTGCAGATATTTTGGACTTTCATTCTGCAGTTTAGTCATTATATTCCCCTTTTGTCCGTCTCCTGTCAGATGTGAGTTTATTCCTGTGACTCAGTTCTTTTTCTCAGTAGCAAAAGCGATTGAACTACCTCATCAAGAATCACTGATCCTCCCACACTGCCACAGAGTTTGCTGGTCCCCATCCTCCAACTGCTCATCAAAGGGCCTGTGCCTCTCTGTGGCCCACAGTAGCCTGCTGTCACAGCCTGCACAGGGACTATGTGATAAAACCTTCTGTCACTCTAATTATACAGCCATTTACTCAATGACTGGAAACAGCACAAACACAGTTCAGGAGGCCGCTGCATGCACTCTAAGAACTAAAACTGATAATTACTTAAATATTTTGGTGCAACACTTTTACACTCAAAAATAATGAGTAAATGCAAAAACAATCACATCTCTTAAATACACCTTATTAATTGAGTAAATCCAACTAAAATGGAATAAGTTGTTATGAACAATTAAAGATGTTACAGTAACATACAA